AATCATTCCCATCATTTCTCTTTCCCCTTTTCCCACTCAGCTGAGGACTTTTAATTAACCCAGCTTGCTGGTGAGTGACCTTGAGAAATCATGGGAAACTCTCCCTAAACATAGAGACCATTTCACAGGTTACACTTAGCCTGAAGCCGAGTGGTCTAAAACTAGTTAACCAATCAGCTGTGGACTCATAGACCAAATGTTTGCTTGTAACAGGGATTGTAGGGTTTTGCTTTCTTAAGTCCATTTTTTTTTTTAATTTCCTTTCTTTAGAGAACACTTGGCTTTGCTGGAATCTGAGTTTCTAGAATTGTAATTTCTAAGACCCTGGATAAAGCTATTTTGCACATTACCTTCTCAGTATTAATTATTGGTAATTGATAGATAGATGGTCAAATAAAAAATTGCACAAATACGTTTTCTCTTCAAGTATACTTGATAAATATCATATGGCTAGTCTCTATTCATGATCATCTTTTATATCAACCAATAGGTGGTTGGTGAGGACATTCGGCTGCAAAGATCTTGTGATTTCCTTGATATTTAATTATTTGTTTTATTATTTTATGTGTAAGTGTTTTGCTTGCACATATGTCTGTATACCGCATGTGTACCTGGTAGTTGTGGAGGATTTTCTAGAACTGGAGTTACACAGGCTTGTGGGCTACCATAGGATGCTGGGAATTGAACTTATGTCCCCTGAAAAAGCAGCAAGTCCTCTTAACTGCTGAGCCATCTCTCCAGCCCTAGCCTCCTCCATCTTTATTAGTAGATTCTTTAGGACACCAGAGATCCTGGCACCCGTGTTCCATCTAAAAATGGTCTTGGGGAGCTGGAGATGAACGTCAGTTGACGGAGCATTTTCCCAGAATACACTGAACCCTGTAGTCAATCCCCAGGACTACATGAACTAGATATAACAGTCCTTTCTGTAATTCCAGCTCTCAGGAGGTGAAGGCAGGGGGAATCAGAAGTTCAAGGTCATCCCCATCTATGTAGTGGGTGTGAGAACAGCCTGGGCTATATGAGGCACTATCTAAAATTTAGTAAATCTCAGGAATATGAACGTAAATGCAAGTATGGGTTATTCACCCTTCAGAGTCAACTGCCCCAGCTTTCATAAAATAGGCTTTATTATTATTATTATTATTATTATTATTATTATTATTATTATCTGCTAAAAGTAGTCTCAGACAAAATTCACTATATGTTACCAAGTGGCCACACAGGTAATTCCTGCTAAGCTTGCTCCTGTGGCAAAGATACAAGCTGAGTGCCCTGCCAGACCAGTTTTCTTTTTCTTTCTCCTTCCGTAAAGCTCTTCTGGTACTTTTCACTTGAGAAAGTAACACAGCCATGAGAGGGACTCGGAGACATGAGGAACATGCTTGGATCTCACCCAGGGTTGGTTTAGGAGGTTCCATCAAGAAGCAAGACCAAATAGAATTTAATATTAATATCCACATGCATTAGATAGTTTTGCTGCACTGCATCTTAAATAAAAACTGCTGTGTGGTAGTTTTTCTTGTTTCATTTTCTTTGGCCCAAATTCATCTACAAGAAAAGATTAATATGTCATGAAAGAACCTGGAGACAAAGATTAAGAAATACTTCACCACCCCAGGTAGCTTACTGGTTTATCGAGGAGAACATTCTATAAACACTGTGGGCGTTTGTCACCCTCCGATGGAGACCCTCAGTTTTCCCGATGCTTGGCACAGGTTGTTGATCAGTTGAGGGTAAACCAATGAGTCCCTAACATTCTAAATGTTAAGTTTAAAATGTCAACAGGTAAACCTATATAAGCTCTCAGGTGAGGGTTTAAGGAACCAACTGTACCGAGCAGACCCTCAGTTAAAATCATCTAAGATTCAAACACAAGTGCCTCACAGCCCGCTTGCCTAATCCTCCTTCCAGAGAGTCTTACCACAAGCTGCGTGCCTGTGCCACACTTCTGCCTCCGCTTCTGAGCCAGCCACTCATTTCTATTCACTTCATCAGTCAGTATAGAGGCATCTCAGGGTCCACAGGGATGGGTTTCAGGGCCCCAGTGGTTAGCCAAATTCATAGATGCTGGAGTCTCTTATGTAAAATGACGGAAGTAACACTTTTCTTGAGAAGCCACAACTTGGTAAAATCAAGAATCCCAGCCTCACTTTAGTATGTGTTGTGGCTTGAAGGTGAGGTGTCCCCTGTGGGCTCATTGGAGGAGTTGCGTGGGAAGACGGCAATCCTTGAGGAGGAAGAACTGACTGGAGGAGGTAGTCATTGGCAATGGGCCATGGAGGCTTCATTGCCTGGCCCCATTTCCTATTCTTTCTCTCTGCTTCTGAGTGTGGATGGGGTGTGACCCACCGGATTTCTGCTCTTGGAAAGATACAAATGCCTTCTTGCTTGCTGCCATGTTTTGCCCACCATAATGGGCTGTATCACTCTGGAACTGAAAGCCGTACATGTGGCATTCTGGTGTGTAGGTGGGGATTTCAGTCTAGACAGCAGATCACCTCTGTCCTACCAACTGCTCTCCAAATAACCACACAGAGACTTATTATTAATTATAAATGCTTGGCTGATAGCTTAGGCTTGTCTCCAGCCAGCTCTGATGACTTAAATGAACCAATTTCTGTTCATCTATGTGCTGCCTGAGGCTCGTTTACCTCATCTGTGAACTTCCCTTGTAGCTTCTTTAGTATCTGGCTCACCATACCTCCAACTCCACCCTCCTTCTTCCCAGCATTCTCTCTGCCCTGAAAATCCTGCCTAGCTATTGGCCCATTAGCTTTTTATTAGCAATGAGAGCAATGCATCTTCACAGTGTACAGAAGGATTTTTCCACAGCACTGGTGAGATAAAATATTTACACAAATTTGCTTAATTAGGAGAACAGAATTGTAAGACAAATTGCTAAATGGTCTTATTAATAATAATAATAAAAAAACCCAGAGCCAGATATTGGGGTGAAGCTAAAGATCAGATAGACAGAACAAGCCACAGCCAACCTCACCGCGCCAATTCCTCAGCTGATCCTATTTCCTCAGACTGGAAGCCTCTGAGTCCTTACCCAAAAGTGTCTCCCCTGAACTGCTGCTAAAAAGCCTCTAGTTCCTGGTCCTCTTGTCTTAAGAGCTTGAGTTCCTGTTTCCTCATGTCTTATATACTTTTCTGTGTCCTGCCATCTTACTTCCTGGGATTAAGGGCATGTGTCCTAAGACACGAGATCTCAAGTGCTGGGATTAAACGTGTGTGCTACCATGCCTGGCTCTGTTCCCAGTGTGGCATTGAAATCACAGAGATCCAGATGGATCTCTGCCTCCTGAATGCTAGGACTAAAGCCATGTGCTACCACTGCCTAACCTCTATGTTTAGTATAGGGGCTGTTCCATTCTCTGACCCGCAGATAAGTTTATTGGGATGCACAATATATCAACCACACAGAATCATTTGGGAACGTAATTTATTTTAAATACTTTTTGTCATTTGTGTGTGGGTGTGCTCATATATGTTTATGTGAATGTGTGTACATGCTCATGTGTATGCATGTTTGCATATGCACATGTGTGTCTAGGTCAGAGTTTGACTTTGATATCTTTCTCTATAGTATTCTACCTTATTTTTGGTAGGATTTCTTACCATCTTGTAGCCCATCGATTTGCCTAGGCTGGCTGACAGTTGAGCTCCAGGGACCCTCTTCTCCCCACTTCACCAGGCTGACTTTATAGATGTACTAACTTTTGATGTGGATGCTGGGCGTCTACATTCAGTGTCCACGCATTCACAGCCAGCACTTTAACCATGAGGTCGTTCCCATAGCCCCTTTCACTGCTTTTTTCTTTTTTTAAATTAAAGAAAGTATATTTATTATTGCATTATTAAATGTCATATTAGAAACCATGCAGAAGTTTAGCAAAATGGTGAAAAGAAGTAAGTCGAAGCCTGATAAAGTATCTATGAAAATAACTGTCCTTAAGGGAATATTAGCAACAAAATTAATAGGTGAGATGAAACTGAGCAGAATCACATTCTGATGTGTCTCTAATGCTCATTATCATAAAAGCATGTCAAAGGGTTCGGAGGCCACCCCACTTAGAACTCCACATGACCCCGTCTTTCTGCGACAGAAGTGGTTAGGGGTCCTTAATAAAGACAGCCACAAAGATAAAAGGCTGGTATCATAGCTCCTTGGGAGCTGTGATAAAAAATGAGGCCAGTACTTACTCTTGAGAAGGAGATGGAAGGTGAATGTGACTGTGCAGATGAAGTTCAGAGCCTAGAAATGACATGTGAAGGGATGCTCTTCAAGGATGGACCAGTTAAAAAACAAGAGGCGTGAAGCAGAGCACACAGGGCCTTAAAGAATGTTATTAAAACACTGCAGTTCAGGGATGGAAATAATGACTAGAGCTGGCTGTGGAAGTCTTTGTTTAGGAAGGAGGCATTTATTAGGGATGCTGGTAGAATCACAGAACACAGTGGGTGTTGAAAGTATGAACTGATCATATTTTTATAAAGAAATTCCATTTTCTACCCTCCCAGACAATCTCACAGCGACGAGGCAGGTGATAGGATACTCTAGGTGGTTGTTCACTCATTCCTGGGAGTCAATCAACATGCGGTGATGCTTTGAAATTCTAATTCATAAATACACGCCTAAGTACTGCCTGCCACACCAAGATAGACAGATACCCATTGAAGGAGAAAACCGCACTTTGCTGACTATATAATGATTAGAAAGACATAAATAATCATCAGTCTGGTAGATCTGGGAAGAGACCATCAGTCAGTTTGTTCTGACTCAGGACTTTCTTTGTCAAGCAAAAGCAAGGTCCGTGTACATGAAACCTGCATTCCCTGAGCCATAGAGCTTTATGAGTAAAAGGTATTTCCATCAATTATAGAAAATTACATACTTTTGGAAGCCTGTTATTTCATTTCTATTTGGAGGATATTTTCGTTGTCTGATCTTTGGTGATCTCTATGACTCATTTTTCTTTTTATCTTTCCAGCATCCGCAAACAGCTCTTGGGATCTCACAAAGAGATCCTACTAAACTCTCTCATCTCTGCAAAGACATCTTGCTGGCTGCCTTTGGTATCCACAAGTAGGCACGGCCGTAGCCATCACCACCAGATGCTGATGTTACCATTGAACATTTTAAGGCAAGGACAGGTTTTATGGGGTCTTAACACAAGGCCCTCAGCCACACCTGACTTCCCCAGAAGAGAGGTAGGGAGAATGTCTCTCTTCTACTTTGGGTGTTATTTTGTTGTGTGGATAGCAAACTAAAGAAAAAATGGCACTGCTTTATTTAGGAGAAATGTCATATGTGCATATATCTTTCTACAGGTAGATGTGCATTTATTTACATATAAAAGAGGAAGAAGATGTGAGTCAATGGGTCGGAACAGATGGTCCTGAGCACACTGTCCTTTCTCTCTGACAGTGACTCAAGTGGGTGGCTGGTTGACCAAGGCATTTCCAGTCCTTGCATATGCCTCTCCCCAGGATGGCTTCTCAATCACAGAAGCAAATATGTGGGCCCTGGCCCCCCACTGTGAGTGGCTGCCACCTTGCTTGCCGACCTTGACCAGATGTCCTCCCTATGCAGATTCCCTGCCGGTTTCCTTCTTCTTGAACGCTCACTCACCAGAGGTTCTTTGTTTGTGTATCCTGCATTTGGTGTGAACAGCTTAGATGCAAGAATGTAGAACATTGGGTAGCAAACTTCTGCCCTCCGGGGATCGTCCATTGTGCTGTAAGCCTGTATTTAAGGTTTCCTCCCTCTTTCAATAAACAGCATTCGGCATTCTGCTGAGGCGAATGACTCGCTGTCTCTTGTCTCTTATTTTTTAATCCACAACCCCTCACTCGGACATGGTGAATGGGTAGCAGTTGCGCAGGCGTTACCACAACAAATGGAGGTCCTACCGAGATCCGAGAAAGAATGGACACTCTTGGAAGGCCGGCCAGCATTTTAAAGAAAAAAGAAAAAGGTAAGAGTGAATTGTCATGGGTGCAAATAGGATGGAGCGTGGCCCGGGCAGGCACCAGCAATAGAGCCTGAGCACTGGGCGGAGCCAAAGCTAAGCTGCAGCCTCAGCACTCGCCAAGCGAGCAGAGGCCGGGAAGGGACTGGCTCTAAAAATTTAAACGGGCCCAACTTCTGGTAAAAAATGGTTTCGGTCAGGACATGGAATGCTAAGTCAATGCTGTTTGAATAAAGGATGTTCTGTTCTTTTGATTGTCTTAGTAAATGTTTGGATGAATGTTTGATTCTCATGGTAGATAAACTAAAGGAACAGGATTCATAATTTTGAACTATATATTAGGTATGCTCTTGTTTGTTGATCATTACTGGAAATTTGGCTCTGATACTCAAAAGTATTACCTAAAGTTACCTCTTCAAATCCTATAGAGACTGTATTTAATGCTTTTATAATTGGCATATGTAAAAAGGACCATAGAAATAGAAGCTGGTGATAGAATTGCTTAATTATTATTGCTTTCATATTTTAAATGAAAAATGACACATATTTGTATAACTGGAGGCTTTGGAGGTACAGAACAAAAGGTGTTTTGACAAACAGTTATCAATGATAAACAGCCTAAATTAAAAACAAAATTATATGGGATTGAGATTGGAAGATTATTGGATTCTAGTGCTGGATATATCTATAATTTCACAAGAGTCCTGAGATCCCAATTGGCCCCTTAAAAATTTTACCTCTAACCTAAAAGGTATCAGCACAGCTCAGACACCATTACAGAGCAGGCTACTTTTAAATTGGAAGGATGAGGAAGGTCATACAGGAACTTTTCAACCCTTTCTGCTACCTGACATTCCAGTGAATTTACAGGGACGGGATGTATTAGATGGTATGGGAGCAGTGCTTACTACACAGCCTTTACAACAGATGCTGAAGAGTCAGGGCTACTGCCTGGGTAGAGGCTTAGGGAAAATGTTGCATGGAGACCCACTACCTGTAGCAGACAAAAACTGTGTCACTAGAGGTCCTGGGGATACTACAGGATTAGGGTCTTCTCCATATGGGTCACTACACAGCAGCCTTCGATTATACAATCAATAAAAATCACTTGGGAAAGTGATGACCCTGTATGGGTGGAGCAGTGGCCCCTTACTAAAGAAAAATTGGAGGCTGCGAACACATTAGTTAAGGAACAGTTAGATGCTGGACATTTTATTCCTTCCACTTCACCTTGGAACTCACCTATATTTGTTATTAAAAAGAAGTCAGGAAAATGGAGGCTATTACAGGATCTTAGAGCTGTAAATAAAACCATGCTTCTCATGGGAGCAACACAGCCTGGCTTGCCTGCCCCTGTGGCATTTCCTAAATATTGGCACTTAATTGTGGGTGACTTATATTTTATGGCTGCTCAAAATAAAAAACTTGTTTTTGATGCCTTTTCTAAATTACAAGAGGTTCTTAGCCTGGCTAATTTACAGATAGCTCCAGAAAAGGTACAGGTATCTTTTCCCTATCATTATTTAGGTCATGAATTGTTATGCACAGGCATATGTCCACAAAAGATTACTCTGTGTATGGATCAGCTGCGCACACTTAAGGTTTCCAAACCTTTCTGGGAGATATTCAATGACTCTGGCCCACTTTAAAGATTCCAACAGGTCAGCTTCGCCCTTTGTATGATGTCTTAAAGGGGGACCCTGACCCTTTATCTCCCCGCAAATTAACAGCTGAAGGGCGTACAGCCCTACAACGTGTGCAAGAGGCTCTGGAGCAGGCTCACGTGCAGTATATAGATCTTTCTTCTCCCTTATTGTATTTGATATTTTGTTTTTCTCATTCACCTACTGGAGTGTTTTGGCAAACAGGTCCTAATCTATGGGTACATTCCCCAGCTTCTCCAGCGAAAACCATTACTTTTTATCCACAGGCTGTTGCTCAGATTATATTTAAGGGAATCAAGATCAGTGTTCAAACCTTTGGAAAGGAGCCAGATATTGTGGTGACCCCATATACCCAGTCTCAAATAGCATGGTTGCAAGCTAATGATAATGATTGGACCATATTGACATGCTCCATGCAGGGTCGGTTTGATACTCACTACCCCTCCAATGATGTGTGTAATTTTTTTTAATTGCATCCTGTTATATTTCCCAAGATAGTACAGATGACTCCTATTCCTCAGGCCCGTGTGGTATTTACTGATGGCATTTCACGTGGCTTTGCTCTGGTGGTTTCTAGTAACATAGTGAAGAGAAGGAAAGTCCAGGGCATTTCTGCCCAGATGGCAGAGGTACAGGCAGTGTTGCTTGCTTTACAGATGTTTTCTGATAAAAGTATAAATATTTATCCTGATAGTCAATATGAGGCACATGCCATTATGCCTTTGGAGACAAGAGCCTACAAACCATCTATTTCTCCCATTCATGAATATTTATTGCAATTACAAGGACTCATATGGTCCTGCTCACATAACCTTTATGTGGGCCATATTAGAGCTCATACCCAATTGCCTGGACCTCTAAGCGAAGGTAATCATAGGGCTGACGCCATTACTCGTATGGCTGTCACATTAGTTTGTTCTGCGTTTGAAAAGCCTACTCAGTTGCATCAACGTTATCATCTTAATGCTGGATCTCTTCATCACCACACAGGCATAACCCGGGAACAAGCCATCCAGATAGTTAAATCATGTTCTATTTGTCTGTTCCTCATTTGGGAGTTAATTCCCGAGGACTTTTACCTAATCATTTGTGGCAAATGGATGTCACACACGTGCCTTCTTTTGGAAAATTACAATATGTCCATGTGTCTATTGATACATATTCCTTTCTAATTTTTGCTTCTGCCATTCAGGAGAAAAGGTTAAGGATGTAAATAATCATTGTCTTCATGCTTTTGCTTATATGGGAGTGCCAAAATGCATAAAGACTGATAATGGTCCCACCTACAGCAGTATGATATTTTAAAAATTATGCCAAGACTTTTCTATTGTTAATAAGACTGGTATTCCTTATAATCCTCAAGGGCAGGCTATAGTAAAATGGTGCCATCATACCTTAAAAACATATATGGCTAAAGTAAAAAGTGGGGGAGCTAGGGGCTCATCTCTCCTCTTCACATTCTATTCTTTCTCTTTTTTTATATATTTTAAATTTTTTATCGTTGGATTTTGCTGGAGTATCTGCTGCAGATAAGCACTGGAGGGCTCCTGTTGCAAATCATCCTCTGGTGCGATGGAAGGATCTTTCTACTGGCACTTGGAGGAGATCTGATCCGGTGTTGGTGTGGGCCCGGGGATCTGTTTGTGTCTTTCCGCAGAACAATGAGGTTCCTCTTTGGGTTCCTGAGTGCTGTGTGTGCCCTGTGGCTGCTGCTGAATCCCAACATGGCAGAGACCTATTGGGCCTTGTGAAAAACTCTCCCCTTCTGATGCCAATGGGGATTGAGAGCCCAATACGGCCAGCCTTGGCAAACATTAATGTAAGCCTAGGAACTGTAGCCACAGTTGCCATTGTTGCTGTTATAGCAGTGGTGGCCATAGAGAATCTGACATCGCTGTTGCCATTGTTGCTGTTATAGCAGTGGTGGCCACTGCTGCTATTGTTTCTGGGATTGCTATTTCATAATTGGTTACTACAACTAGCACAATGGAGACCCTGGCAGCAAAAGTAGCTACCACAGTTAATTAATCTTTCATTTTATTGGGCATGATAAATTTAATTCTACAATTATATATTTTAATTGGCTTTGAAAGTTATAAAATTTATAAAACTCAAGTTCCACTTGCCTATGGGATACCACCTTATAAGGACTCCAATTTGCAGTAAGGCTTGTTAAGGAAGGGAATGGCTCAATTGCCTTTAGCCTCCTGGCTATGGGTGGGTTAGGACTTCTGTTGGTTTTTTCTGTGTCCCACAGATTGCAAGCCCAATGCCACTTTGAAATCTTTGGCAGCAGTTACTCTACAGCTCACGTGGTTGAGTCTGTATGATAATGAGTATTCAGAGACGGGTAATGCTTGGGGGGGGGCGGTCATCAACCTAAGACAGAACGCCTGTGTGGCCTGGGCAGGTGTCTCCATGACAGGTAAGGTGACCTGCTGACGTCCCATGCAACCTAAGTCAGAAGCTCATTTTTTAGTAAAAGGGGGACCTGTGGGCCCTGGCCCCCCACTGTGAGTGGCTGCCGCCTTGCTTGCCGACCTTGACCAGATGTCTGCCCTATGCAGATTCCCTGCTGGTTTCCTTCTTGTTTGTGTATCCTGCATTTGGTGTAAACAGCTTGATGCAAGAATGTAGAACATTGGGTAGCGAACTTCTGCCCTCCGGGGATCGTCCATTGTGCTGTAAGCCTGTATTTAAGGTTTCCTCCCTCTTTCAATAAACGGCATTTGGCATTCAGCATTCTGCTGTGGCGAATGACTCACTGTCTCTTGTCTCTTATTTTTTAATCCACAGCCCCTCGCTCAGACATGGTGAATGGGTAGTGGTAGCGCGGGCATTACCGCAACAAAAATACATGTCTAGATATTTTTCACCTTCCCTTCTTCCCTTTAATTCTGTCAGAATTGCAAAAACATCTGTAGCTCATAAAGCTTTAGCC